AGTCCTGGGAGTAGATGCAGGAAGCGGGGTGGGGGGGGGGGGGGACATGGGACGGGACGGGACAGGATGACTGTATTCTTGAACATTCTGCAAGTCTACTGGAAGCTATAATAGGGAGGGGTATGAGACACTCTGGCAAAAGCCTTTCCTCCCCAAAGCCATTCCAAAGGAAACCATGTGGTGCGACAGGAGAAGAGTCACCAAGGGAGAGGCGCTGCTGAGAGCACCTGTTCTAAGTAGCAAGTGATGAGAGGCTCAGAAGAAGCCTCGCCCAAGGGCTTACAAGGTCATGCGTAAAAAAAAAAAAAAAAAAAAAAAAAAAAAAAAAAAAAAAAAAACGGGTCTGGAAGTAAGACAGAGGAAGAGAGGAAGGGGCAGGGTGAGCACCCTGAGGGAGTGAGGGTCTTAGCTTCTTAAAGCTTCCGCTCCTAGGCTCCCACGGCTGCTTTACAACTCTCAATATTAAATAGCCTTTGCCTCCTAGCACAGTACCCATAGCACTCCTCCATTAGCCTCGGTAGGTGAGGCCTCCGGCAAAAGAGAGGCTGCAACTGATCCCCCCCCCATCCCAAATCCGCAGCTTCCAGCCCGGTCCTTGACACATGGAGGGTGTGCTGAAAATGCCTGTGGGATTGAGGGTGCTGAAAGAATTCAGGCGTCCAGAGTTAATGAAACGCACTGTTACCTTAAAGGCAAGGAGGCATGAGAAGAGGACTTAACCCAGAGGCTGTGTCCTCATTAGCCGCCTCCTTGGGGTAGAGCCAGAGACTGGGATTAAAGCACACTGTGTTTGGATAGGGGCAGGGGATCAAAGAAACACCAGGAGGGGTCTTCAGAAGTGACCTGTCACTTCTGAAGGAAAGTAGGCAGTGAAGGGCATTTTGGCCAGGAAGCTCAAGCCCACTGGGAAAGCCCCCCGGGAACTTGTATAGAACCTGCAAGAGCCAGGAGAGAGCAAGGGCAGGTACTGGCCAACTTCCATCAATTGTCGCCAGCGAGGAGGGAGGGGCTCATGAGCCTTCCGAATGCTGTGCCACTCACAGTAGGCTCCGGTGGGACAAGAGAACCCTTGGGCAGAATGCAGGGGCCTGCAGGTAGAAGCCAGACAGGCATGCAGGGAAGTAGCAAGGACAAGGGGAGTGTCCCCCAAACTTTAGAAGCCTCAGAATCCCCTGAGCTCACCCCACCCCTAATCTTCTTTAAACAGGTTTGTAAAAATGTGCCTGCTTTACAAGCTCCTAGGTGCCACCTTCAGAACCGTGGGCTCAGAGGGGAGAAGCCAGGCTCCTAACGAGTCAGTACAGATTGCACGCTGTGCAAGCCTCAACGCCTGAGACTGGCAGAGTCTACTAGTGACAAAGGCAGAGAGGTGAGGTACACTTTGCTTTGCTCTCTGCAATGGAAATCTTCCTACCTCACTCAAAGCCTGTGCGTGGGAGTCGCATGCTTCAGGAGTTGGGAACAGGCAGCCAACTTCTCTGCACCTGCTGTGGCCAAGGCCACAGCTACTCCCTCACGCCACCCTCAGGACACAGCCTCTCCATGTGTTGTGGGCTGGTATTTTTTTTTCTTCGGGTACGGGCTGACAAGATTAGACCCCAGGTGCAAAGAGTACACGGAAACAGTTCAGAGGAGCTGCAGGATTGTGCTACATAATTAATTCAGCTAGGGAACAAGCCTGAGCCAGCCGCTCTCAGGAAGCTGCTCCTCAGAGCTGACTCAGAACTGGCCAGGCAGTCTGAGTCCCTTGCAGCCCAGCCTCCGAACCATCAGAACCATCGCACAGTGACCTTGTGGGACTCCTCCTCAGCTCTGAACAAGGTGAAGCCTCCAGAAGACACCCAAATCGCTCAATTATCACAGTATGCCCACTCAAAGGCTATATTAACCTGAAAAACAGCAGGCCTCCTTGTCCTCTGTGGAAAAACAAAACGAGACTATGAATTTGAAAGAGATTGAGGAGGACTATATTGGGAGAGTTTGGAGGAAAAAAAGGAGAGGAAAAATGATGCAATTATAGTGTAATCTCAAAAAATAAAAGGAAAAATTAAAGAGCATGTGCTTGCCGGGCACACAGCATCCTAAATAAAAAGTGGTACTTAGTTCCCAATATATTTAATTTCCCCTTGAAATCAACACAGTGAGATTCAAAAGACAAAAGTAGCCCTGACCTCTCTCCAGAGAGGAGCGGCAAAAGGCGGGGAGACAGATAACAAATTTACCCTTCAAGGAAGCAGAGGCATATCCTCATTTATCTTTTACAGTGATCACCCCTAGCAAAAAGGACAAAGCCCACCCCCACACTTTCGTTTTGAAATAGGGTCGCTGCCACAAAAGCTAAGCGGTTAGGCCCTCAGACCACTGCAAGTATCTGAGCTTCCCTACCACTCAGTTACGGAGGTTGGTCACGAAGGAAAGCTGAGGTCAGCACCTCTTAGGAGGTGCTTTAATTAGCTGCAGTTCTGAGCTTCACGGTGAGAGAAAGAAACGCTTCGACCCCTCACGAATCAGAAAATTTTTTACAGCTTTGCCAATGGGTAGCGAAGTGAGTCAGCATCAGCCCAGTGTGGGCACTATTATTATTGATGAGAAATCTTCCGCTTGGGTGATATACTGCATACGACACATGCCCAAAGAACGGTGCCAAGTCATACCAGGAAGGGAAGGCAAATTATTCCCCTCCACTTCAAATGCAGGCAAATCCTGTCTTAATGCAGGGGCTACTCCATATCAGAAAGACAAAGCCCAGAGACGGGCAGAGATTTCCATCTAAGACTCAAAAAATTATTAGGCAGAGTCTCTTCTTTCTTGTTGACTATTAAAAAGGCAATCAAGTTGAGGAAAGCAGAAGGAAAAGGGGGGCTGAGGGATGCGGTGAGAAAAATACATTATTTCAAAAACAGCCCCAGAGTGAAAAGCAGTACAAAAGCCTGCAGGCAGCTTCTGTCTTCTTTGTCAGTAGTGTGAGCTCCACCTAGAGGTCATTTCTAGAATCGCAAGTTAATTCAAGTTACAAAAAGAGAAATCTACGTTTTCTGGGGTCCAGGGCTGATACTGACTGGGAGAACTGATGGATATCCTTGGACAACACCCTGTTTCTTGTCTCGCCTTACTGGAACTTCTCTGAAACTTGAGATGCAAGATCTCCTCAGGGAACCTAATGAGCTCCGGAAGGACAATTGCCTTTGATGTTTGTGCCTGTCAGGCTGCTACTGGAGTTCCTGGCAGGTTGAACTCAGCTCAAAGAAAGCAGAATGTTCAAAGAATACCTTTAGAAGGGAAAAAGTGACAGTTATGGTTGAAATAAAATAAAAGACTGGCGAGAAACCCAGAGGGCCAATGGAACATGTCTAATATTAGAAAGACTGAGAATAGTTTATTTCAAAGACTCATGGACCACTTGCTTAGAGGACCCAGCTACAAGACAGTCTTTCCCTAACTTGACACCAACAAGTACGCTGAAGTGGTCTTAATTTCTATTTCCGAAAAGTTGATTAGAAGCTCCCAAATATTCATAACTCACTCATTCATATGCTTTCTCTCTCCCTCTCTGTCTCCATCCCTCCTTCCATCCTCTCCCCCTCTCTTCACACCAGTTGTCCTGTGAAAATTGATACTTTAGGACTCCAGGCTACAGCAAAGGGCACCTAATACACTGAGCAGGACAAATACAAGATACATCCTGCCCCACACACCACAAGCTAGCTCTGCCAATAAACCAAGCCTTCAAGAAACAACAATGTGGTTGGTGCCAAAAGTTTCATCTACCGTATGGAGAGTGCCCCCCCCCCCACAGCCCGTGTGTTCCTGCCTCCTCCAGCCTGGGCCGTACATGACCTAAAACAGCTTTGAGAGATCATGCAGAGGGAAAAAAAAGAAGCAAAATTACCCTTTCTGTTCTTTCACTTCAACAAGGGGGCTTGGTATTTATAGCATCGCTACAGTGAGAATTTCCTAGTTTCTTGACCATAACCCAAAAATACTGGGCTCATGATGACTCAAAGCAATAGACCTAATGATAATAGTCAGAGGAGATGGTAAAAATCACAAATGCACAGACCCCCAACTTGATAAACTAAAGCAATCATTGCTAATGATGTGCCCAGCACAATCTTGCATTTCCATGTTCCAGTGGCAACTGCTCTCATCGGGAAGATTTCAAAACCCCCTCTCAAAGGAAGAAATTTCATTTCAGAGCCTCTCAACTACAAAGTGGCATCCGTAGGGAGTACAGCAAGTGTACGCCCTGGCCCTGACCATTTGAATTCCAGCTCCAGAAGAATTTCTCCAATTCAAGATGGGCCCCTTCATAATTGGTAGACAATGCAGCTGTTCAACGGTTTCCCTGTTTATTCCTTTATCTTGTCACACAGCATCAGAGAATTTTACCAGGCATCACACGTATCCACTTGTGGCAGGAACTAGTTGTTTCTAATACTCCACAGTACTCTAAGATCACTCCCATACCGCTGATATGCATGCTTTCTGGGCCATTTGGGGAACGTGATGGGCTAGGAAGCACATGTGTTTTACTGCAGGAAAGGACTTGCCTCAGGACGTTTGCACACATCAAGCGCAAATGGAGAAGACACGTGGACAATATGGGGTTTTCTTCTGCGCAACTTGAGGGCCCTTCTGCCAGCTGCTTCCCATGGCTCCCCACTGCTCTGCATTCTGCCGTATCCAAAGATGGTTTATAGCACAATTCACTAGGCAGTAAGCCATGTGGCTCTTACAGACGGCAATTAAGAGCGAAAGAAAGGCTGAATTACATGGCATTTGAAAATACAGTTAGAGAAAGAACAAGTCGGATCTTATTTTCTGTTACCTCCTGGTGATGAAATCTATGTGTTCATCCAAAAGAACACACCTACTTCTGGGGTTATTTGGAGCCAACAACTCAGTCAATAAAAAAAATCAACTGCACAGTCAATGTCAAGCATGAAAATCCATTAAACAGAAAGTCGGGTTTTTTTTCTTCCATCAAAGGAAATCCTTACCTTTTCTTGAGCTTTCCTTTTTGTTCCTGCATCCATCCATTCATTTTCTTTCTCCAGCATGTCAATAAAGGCCCAGCGAACACCCTCAATCAATTCTTCCATCTATAAGAAAATACCCCCCCCCAAAAAAGCAGAAACTTCAGACAAGGTTTCTTCAACCTAAATCAAGTTACAAAAAATAAATAAATAAAAATACTTCAAGGTTCAAAACCGGGAGTGGGAGGGGGGCTTTCAGCTCAATTCCACGCTCTGATATTTTTTGGGGGGGGAGCATCTGTGAATGGATTGTGCAGGGAGGTTGTGGAAAACCCACCAGAAGCTACCACTAGTCAATCACTTACCTATATGGAGCTAAGAAATGGGTCTGTCCTTATCAAGGTAACAACCAATTTCAGTAATTTCATAAGAGTAGGGGAATGAGCTCAGTGGTAAAGTGAGTAACTAACAAGTGCAAGGCCCTAGGTTCTAATCCCAATGCCACACGCGCGCACGCGCACACACACACACACACACACACACACACACACACAGAGAGAGAGAGAGAGAGAGAGAGTTTATTAGACCCCAAGGGTGTTAAGCAAAAGCACGAGCTGTGCATCTTAGATAGGCATTACCAAGAAAGTGAGCAACAACTGAAGGAGCTATTGTTAAAAGAGACTCACACAGGCAGATAGAGTACCCTAAAGGACATCACACCAGCATGAATTAGATTTCTGTTAGGACCCCCAAATGTCCCTAAATTCAGTGACAGGAAGTTTTCCGAAGGGCTTTTTCCAGAGCATTTAAAGAATGAGATCACATCCAGGTTGAGGACACATTTGCTTTGTTGAAGGCCTCAGCAGGGATGGGAAAACTGGAGGAAGAGAGACGCTGCTGCAGGGGTGCAAGGAGACCCCACCATGTATGTATGTATGCCACATAGTCCCATTCACCTGTGAAAATGCCGTCACTTCCTTAATGAAATAGCCAGTAAAGCTCAAACCCTGGCATCTGATCTCTGGATTATATTTGTTGTTGAGATTATGGACCTATAAATAAATTGTTAATTTTTTTTCTAAACATCCCCTTTATTTTATAAGGAATTGTCAGCATAAAAACTCACTTTAAAAGAATTTCTCTCTGTGTGTTTAATAAGTTTCCGCTATGTTTTCAGTTCAATAACAGTTGTAAGAGAACAAGAGCTGTAAATCAGTGGGCTGGGTTCCATCATATGTAAATAAGAACAAACAGCAGATGGGAAAGGGGGAGCCTCACAGCTATTTCTTCCCAACTTAGGGAAAACACTAAAAGAAAGAGAAAGCTCCAGTTGGGATCCAGGCATGACAAGAACATGAAATGACAGGAGAACAAAAGCCTCTTCAAAATCATTAAGTCGTAGTTCTCAACTTTATGATAATACTGGGATCTTGGAGGAGCTTTAAAAGTCCTGACAAAAAGTGATTTAAAAGAAAAAAAAGAATGAATGGGTGAATTTTGGAGCCTAGGCATCAGGACACGGGCATTGTTGGTCCTAAGGTTCAGCATGGGCAGTGGCCATTTTGAAAGCTCTCCAGGTGAGTCCTATGTACAGAAAGGGTTACTCCGCGAGCATTTCGGAAAGTCACTCATTTTTATAAACAAGGAAGCTAGAAGTTGAAGAACTACGTGAATTCCTACAGCTAGTGAAGGTCAGAGCCAGGCTTGACCACAGAGCCTAAATGACAAATATGAGTGCAGAGCTTCTAGAAGCTTCAAAGGTTTTCCCCCATGAATCAGAGGAACATGCCACGGACATAGCAAGTAATCCAGAGTCAGATGCAGAAGCAACCATTCCTAACAGGAAGTCTGACAAGAGGGGTACAGAAATGCCACAAAGCCTCCCAGAGACCACTACATCTTTTGCTTATGCAGTACTTAACACCCTTAAAACTTGATGCGCTCACCAAGTTAGATATCACCTGCATGCAGAAAGAGCAAGGCTGTCAACCTCAAATCAGAGGGGGATACCAGAAATGGAAAGAAGGGAGTAGAGTTGACCAATTTAGTGATGGGAGAAATAGAACCAGATGATTCATAGCATGTGGAGAAGGGAGAAAATCAGGGAGATGGGGCAACGCCCAGGCTGTAGGCAGGGACAATGCAGCGGATACTGCCGGCACTCTCTAAGACGAACATATGAGCGAACAAGAGAGATGAACGGCAGTGTGATGAGGAGGGTGCGGACATGGAGATAGCAAATCTGTGTAACCCAGCAGAGGAGATATGAAAGAAAGGAAAGAGGGGGACACTGGGACAACGGGGCGGTCTGAGGCTTGGGATGGTTTTGTTGACATTGCTGCTGCTTGGTGTGGGAGCTCTCTGTGTTCTAACACCAACGGACACATTGAGAAAGGAACTGAAACTACGGCCTTGGCGATTTCTGGGCCTTATAACAGCTATCAAATGTATCAAAGGCTTAAGAATAGAATTTCCCACAGGTTTTCCAAGCTCTTTGTCCGTAATCTGCTGACTGGCATTCCAAGTGGAAATACACTGAGGCAAACCGATTTCAGCTTATTGTCTGAATGAAGAATGACAGTTTACTCATATGTAGAATTCCTTCTCCCCCTCCCTCCTCTGTCCTCCCTAAAGCAACACTTTGATAACTCACTCTGTGGCTTTCATCTACTTCAAAATGTAAGTAAATCACTTCACTTCTTGCTACCCTTGGTCCTTCTTTGCCCTTGAGAACAACTTCAGGTGTTCTCATTCTCTCTCCGCACCGCCCCCCTCTTTCTCTCCTCTCTCTCTCCTTTATGGATTTATTCTATAATGTTTTCTGTGAAATGGTACTGAACCACCCTAACAGATTTCCAGAACAAGAGAAATATTTTCAAAGTATCGATGTCATTGTTTGGCATGTCAATGCAAGTAAGATAATGATTTTAGCATGCTGGAACCAGGAAGATAAATCATAGAACACTTTCGATTTTCATCTTTAGACTAGTCTACAACTCGCACAATAACATTGCCTTCAGTCAAACTGCACTCCTAGAGACAGTAAAAGCCTGACATGATTTTTAAGTAAGGGGGAAGGAGAAATAATATTTGTTCACCAAACCTTGACCTTATGCCCCAAGAGTCACCATGAAGCATTAATGGAAATCACTTAAAGATGAAGTCAGCAGGTTAAGTTAGCCACACAAATTGTTTATTTAGAGTCAAAGACCAAAATGCAACATACGAGAATTAACTAAAATATTACTGCAATAAAATCTCTCACATTCAGGTTAAGGGCCTTGCAGGAAAAGCAACTTCTGAAAAGCATCTCTCTGTTTCAGATTTTTCTGAATTAATACTGAAAGTACAGTTCATTTGGTTGGTCTATGGCAGTGGTTAGTTCTCTTCCTCAACCATGTCTGTTTCAAAGTTGGCTCTCCTCATTCTTTGCACCCCATTATTTGGGTCATAACATCCTATATCAGATCATAGAAAATTTCACCTGTATATATAACCATGTTATTCTTCTATCCTGAGCTTTTAAAAAATGAGGCTTTCCTATCATGTCCTTCCCACTCCCTCGTCTCTCTGTTCTCGCCTTTTCTTCCCACACATAGGCATGGGAAATTTTCCGTTCATATAAACAGGTAGTCGTGGTGCATGCTGACAGTGTTTTGTGATCAGGGGATTGAGTTTACCCCATGAATGGTTATAGTTCCCTTCCAGTCTTTGCTTCCAGCTATAGAGAAACCCTATAGAACCAATTCAAATCCTTCATGTCCATGAATCCCATCCCGATGTTTCAATCCCTCTTGGAGTTCCTCTTAGGCTTATAATAGGAACAATATGAGTATATATGATGCATGATTGTTTTGTCATTTATATTTATCTCCTAACAAAATATAGGAATGTTGAGAATAAGAACCATGACATAGATCAAATGAGACTATAGATATGTAATATATTATATATATATATATATGTGTGTGTGTGTGTGTGTGTGTGTGTGTGTGTGTGTGTGTAATATAGGTACCCTGAAAATTAAATTTTCCATAACTTTTATGATTTTATATATCACATATGATTTTTACATGGTTATTTTATATCTCATTTTTATACCTAATACTGACATTGAGCAGATGCTCAGTAAAGACAAATTCATCACTTCATGCTTTTCAAACTCTCCACTGGAAGTTTTAACTAGAGAAACTAAGTAAGAACTAGAAATAGAAGGCATACAAACAGGAAAGGAAGAAATAAAAGTATCTCTGTTTATAAATTATGTCTTCCTATATGCGGACAAACCTAAAACTTCATAAAATAACTCATAAAATGATAAATTCAGTAATATTACAAGATATAAAATAAATGCACCAAACAACTAACACATTATATCCCAATAAAATTGATGAGAAAGAACTTGTAAAAGCAAATCCATTAACAATAGCTGAGAATTAAAATATGTAGGACTAGATTAGCACAGGAAGCAAAAGAGAATTGCAGTAAAAGTAGAGTGCCGTGTTTAAGGAAAGAAGGAGAACTAAAAACTGGAAATACCTCCCATTTTCATGAAAGGAATAATTAATATTGTTAAAATGTCAACATTACTCAAAATGATTTATGGATTCAAAGCAATTCCTGAGGGGAATACCAATAAAAGTTTTTTTACAGAACTAGAAAAAGCCATCCTGAAATTGTTGCAGAAGCACAGAAGACCCCAAATAGCCCAAATAATCCTACGGAAAAAAAGAGCAAAGCTGAAGGCATCACAATATCTAGTTTTGAGACATACTACAAGGCATAAGCAAAACAGCATGGTATTGGCATGAAAACAGACACACAAGCCAGTGGAACAGAACAGGGATGCCAGAAATAAACCCATGCATCTACAGCCAACTGATTCCCCACAAAAGGCCAAAAACATACATTTTCCTCATCAATAAATGATCCTGGGTAAAGTGGATATTCATATGTATAATACTGAATTAGATCCCCGTCTCTCACTTGGTACTAAAATGAGCTCAAAATAGATCTGAGAAACAGAGGACATAGAAGGAAACAGAAAAAAAAAAAAACAGTCCTAAACACTGGTGTAGATTGTGAAATACTTTCAGTATGATCCGGAAAGAACAAGAAACAAAAAC